CATTACAAGAATTCAATTATTTTAAATGCTGCTTAAATTAAACCTTTTTTGAAATAATTCAATTATTCTTTTAGATTTTAATAAAATTCTTCGCAAAAATTCAATTATTTACATAAATAATTCTTCGGAAGAATTCAATTATTTCCATAAATAACAAACTTATTTCCGAAAATTCAATTATTTTCATAAATAACAATATTCATGACAAGAATTCAATTATTTTTAAAAACTTTAATAGTATTCTTTGTAAAATTTAATTATTTTTAAAAACTTTTCGCAATTCAACGATTTTCAATACCTATACTATTTTCATAAAATTTTCTAGCAGAATTCAATTATTTAAAAATTTTTTTTGTAATAATCTTCGTAAAAAGTCAATTATTTTCATGAATAATTAAAATTTTCCAGGAATTCAATTATTTAAATTAGAATTTGTTCAAAATTAGTCGAATAGCAAGAATTATATTATTTTTATAAATATATTTTAATTCTTTTCATGAATAATAAAATTTGTTGTAGGAATTCAATGTACTAGCAGGATAAGAAAGAAGCAAATATTTTTTTGATGAAAATTAGGAAATAGTCAGGAAAATAAAATATAGAATGTAATTTCTGTCAGTTTTGTGATGTATCTAAAACTTGTTTTTTTGGTCATCAAGATTAATTTTTCTATAGCTACTTTTTTACTATTTTTTTTTTATTTTCAAAGCTACTTTTTGCTACTTTTTTAAAATTAATTATCGAGTGCGAAGTCTGATATTCTGATCAAATCAGTTATTATTAAAAATTTCTTATTTTAATTTCAAATTAAATTCATTCTAAAAATTCGTTTCTGGAAATTGACTATTTTTTTTCATGTTTCAGATGGAGAATCAGCGGTCGGTAAGTCATTTTTTTAATTATAAAAAATAGTCTAGTGTTCAACCCCCTGGGTGACGAGAAGTAAAACACAATTTTTCCATTTCTTCAGAAAAGAAAAATAAATATATAAACAATTCGTCTCATTCTCACTGCCATTTAGTTTTTTTTATACAATTACATTCTATAATAATGTAAATATAAACTTTTCCCAGTAGTCAGTATATTGAAGGTCAGAAAATTAATTTTTGAAAAATATTAATCTCATCCATTATACTTTGAAACTGTATAGTAATATATATAAACAGGGAATTTAAACTTAAATCCTAAAGCGCAGAACAATTTTGAACTATATACACGTATAACTATATAGTTCTTTGAATCCGAATTAAAGCGACTTTTGACAGAGCGAAGGTTGGTCATCGCTTCCATGTCGACAGTGGCGAGGCGAAGTGACCAATGCCTCGTGCTTTAGAAACTTTAATCAGTCGGGACCGAAGTAATCCTCTGTACTTAATGGGGCTGTCCTCTACATGACCGCGATACAAGTTGAAACTCACGTTAAAACCAACGTTTGCTGAAACGTTGTGCAACTCTGAAGGGAGGAGATAAAGCGACAATGGTCCTTAAGGATTAAACAGAACCGTAGTTGTAAAAAGAAATTAGTTCTCTAGTCTAATCATTATGTTTTTTTTTGCCCCTCCCTTTCGTGTATCATTTGTCCGAATAATAAAAATCATCGTTCGGTTCATTGACTTTCTAGTATGGTTATATACCAGGGCTCGATTCAGTGAAAGTATTTAAAAATAAATTTACGGACTTTACTGACCAAAAAGTATTCTTTTAAGTAGGGGCCTCAAGGTGGCCACCCATTTTTTGAACGACTGTAATTCCTAAACGGTATTATATAACAATTAATAATATATGCCCTGAAATTGTATCTCCTTAGCTAACTAAAAATAGCTGAAATTTTGCTTTACAAAAAAGTGTCCCCAAGGTGGCCACCATTCAAATATTCACTGGAAAATTAAAAAAATAGTTGCAGAAATCAATTTAAGGTAATTTTATTTGAAATTACTCTCCAATTTTTAATTTTCGTATCTCACTCCGAAATATATGGTGGATTTAGAATTGAAAAATTGTATTTGAATAAAATTTTTTGTAGTTTTTTACGTGACGAGAGTATAAATAAAAAGTGTAGCAATCAAATATGTTTTCTACTTGTGTGCGAGTGGAATTTTTACATGTGCGTTTGTATACAAATATATTGTACCAGGGAATTTTTTATTCCATTGAAATTGAACAAGATTAATAGGACCTTAACCTCGGGGGATTTAAGGTTCAAGAGAACACGCGTCTGACCCGAGATTCAAAGACACTGCGACTTTAAGGGCGTTTGAGACAACCGTCATTATACCTTGTCTCTTTGACAAATCTCATCTTATTCCATTTGACTAAGCTTTTTTCTTCTACTAAACAAAGTGATTCTCTACTAAAAAAAAAAAATATTTCTTTGCCGAAAAAATGTTTTTACTGAATATTGTTTTTTTTTTTATTTAAACAATATTTTTTTTATTGAAAAAATTTATTTTCTTATTAAAGAAATTGATTTACAAAAATTATTCCCATGAATATAATAAAGAAGAAGAAGAAGAAAAAAAGAAGTTTCCAGTGATTGCAAAAATTCAATTATTTTCAAAATTAGGTACCTAATAAAATTATTCTCCGTAATTACAATTATTTTCAAAAATTTTTAATAAAATTCTTGTCAAAATTTCAATTATTATCAAAAATTTTCCTCAATTCAACGATTTTCAATATCTACTATTTTAATAAAATTTACTCAAAGAATTCAAATTTAAAAAAAAAAATTTGATAAAATTCAATTATTTTCTTAAAATAATAAAAATTTCACAAGAATTCAATTATTTACAAATATTTCATAAATTTCTCCGCAACAATTCAATTATATTCATAAATAATATAAAATTTTAACAGTGGTTAAATTATTTCGTAAATAGTGAAATTCTTTTTAGGAATCCAATTATTTTCATTAATAATTAAATTTTCACAGGAATTTAATTATTTTCAAACACAATTTTTATAAAATTTTTCGAAATAAATCAATTATTTAAAATGATTTTTATAAAATTCTTCCCTAAAATTCAATTATTTAAAAAAAAATTAATAAAGTTGGTGATGAAATTCGTTGCAAAAATTGAATTATTTTTAATTTCAGCAAAATTTAAATTATTTTTTCATTATATTATCAATATCTACTATTTCAATAAAATTTTCTAAAAGAATTCAATTATTTTAAAAAAATTTATTAAAATTCTACGCAAAACAGTTAATTATTATCATAAAATAATATAAATTTCAAAGGAATACCATTATTTATAAATTTTTTATAAATTTTTTTCGCAATAATTAAATTATTTTCATAAATAATAAAAATTTTACAGAAATTAAATTATTTTCGTAAATGATAAAATTCTTTTTAGGAATTAAATTATTTTAATAAATAAATAAAACTCATTGCAGAATTTCAATTATTTTTAATACAATTTTAATCGAATTTCTCGAAAAATGCAATTATTCTTAAAAATTTTATTAAAATTCGTCCAAAGAATACTATTAAAATTTTTGAACGATTTTATTAGAATTTTTAAAAATAATTGAATTTTTAAGAAGAAATTTATTACTTTTAAAAATAATTGAATTCTTGTGATTAATATTGTTATTTATGAAAATAATTGAATTTTGCAAAGAATTTTATTAAAATTTTCAAAAATAATTGAATTCTTGAGGAGAATTTTATTATTTCTGAAAACAATTTAATTATTGCGAAAAATTTTTTTAAAATTTTTGAAAATAATTGAATTTTATTACTTTTAAAAATAATTTAATTCTTGTGATGAATATTGTTATTTATGAAAATAATTGAATTTTGCAAAGAATTTTATTAAAATTTTTAAAAATAATTGAATTCTTGAGGAGAATTTTATTATTTATGAAAACAATTTAATTATTGCGAAAAATTGAATTAAAATTTTTTAAAATAATTGAATTTTGCAAAGAATTTTATTAAAATTTTTAAAAATAATTGAATTCTTGAGGAGAATTTTATTATTTATGAAAACAATTTAATTATTGCGAAAAATTGAATTAAAATTTTTGAAAATAATTGAATTTTATTACTTTTAAAAATAATTGAATTTTATTACTTTTAAAAATAATTGAATTCTTGTGATGAATATTGTTATTTATAAAAATAATTGACTTCCTCCGAATTATTTTATTATTCAATTGTAATAAAATTTCTCGAAAAATGTAATTATTTAAAAAAAAATTTATTAAAATTTGTCCAAAGTATTCGTTTATTTAAAAATTTGTTGATAAAATTTTTCATGAGAATTCAATTTTAAGAAACATTAAATTATTGAATAAATTATTTATTTTTCTATTTAAATAATTGAATTCTAGTAGAATTTTCTAACAAAAATTGATTTAAAAATGAATTTCAACTAAAATTTTAAATAATAATTAAATATTAAAAGCAATATAACGTGAATTTTAAAAAGTAATTGAATTTTAAAATTAATTTTTTTGAAAAAGTTTAATTGTAATTTTTTTAAAAAAATTGTTTGAAGTTTTTTATTTTCTAATAATTGAAGAATTTACGAAGAATTGAAATTTCGTCAATCTGAATATTGTAAACAAATGAATTTGAAAATTATCGAAGATCTTTTTCGAAAATTATTAAAAATAATTTATTGAAAGAAGAATTTTAGTTAAAAACTTTTGAAAATAATAATTGAATTGAAAATGATGAAAATAATTTTGTAGAAGTTACAGTAACAATATTCTTATAATAAAATAAATAAAAATAAATGAAAATAAATAATAAAATAAATAAATAAAATTCCTATATAAAATAATGATTTTATCACTCGGTCATCTTTAATTATTATAAAAGATGAAGAAATCAATTTCTTCATGTTTTATAGTTATGAAAAATTTTAATTTATCGTTTTAAGTATAAGTGTCCTCTTATTTGACTTGGCCTGGTTATATTTTTGTCAATAATAATTGGTCCGTGATTTTTAATTTCTTTTTAAATAGTAAAATTATTTTCTTACCTTTCTTTATTGTTGTTGGGAGTGGGCATTGGCGTTGGAACTCTCGGCGGTGGGACGGGAATGGCTTTTCGTCTTCCAGCATTTGGATTTTGATGGACTGTCGGTGTGACTCGTCCTGTAGGAGCAATTCGTCCCGCAGTTCGAGGACGTTCCGTTCGCACGTCCATCGCAAATCTAAAACAAATAAAATCCAGGTTTAATCAAATTAATGGCAATCAAGTGCAAATAAATTACTCCAATCAGTCTGATTGACAATTACTCTAAATATACAAGAATTTCCAGAATTTTGTTCCACTTCATTTTGAAAGTAGCTCCTAATTAAGGAGAAATCCTTGTAAATTTTCTTTCTTTCAAAATTAGTGTTACTTTCATTATCATATTTTTACATTTTTCATTTGTCACAACAAATTTATCATTTGCTGTTCATTAGAATCGTTTCTAATATGTAATTCAAATTGTAATGCAAAAAAGTTTACAAGTCACCGATAGGGAAGAATAATTATTCAAAAAAGAAAAAGAGTTGTAAATGAGTAGTCGAATAGGAAACATCGTCGTATATAAGTTAAGGAAAAAATAATTTGTAATATAATAATTTAAATATGATTTATCTGGGTATTTTTCTTTGCGCGTGTGTTGCAACCTTGGGACAAAGTTTACAGGTAGGTTAACAAAGATTTTAGCGAGAAAAAAAAATATACTTTATTAAATGAAAATAAGGGGACTTCAAGGGATTTGAATTTCAGTTTAAATTTAACATTTAATTTTTTTAATGTAATAGAAAGGAAAAATTTTTAAATTTCTATAATACTCTTTCTCATGTGATGAGAATACAAAAATTATAATTTTAAAATAAAAAATTAAAATAAAATAAAATTAAATTATATTAAAATACATGTTTAGATTACAGATATATTAAACGGAAATAATGCAGATTCTAATGAGACCACAATGTTTACCACCGATGCTTTACTAAACAATTCCATTGGATCTAGTTTTGTAACTGCACTAAATAACAAAACAATTTCTGCAGCCAATGTTTTGCTGAATAGTACCAATAGAAGTACCACATCTAATAGTGCAACAACTCCTCTGATCAATGCTTTGTTGAATAATATCATTCCAACTATTAACAATGCTGCATCTAATGGCACAATTACATCTAATGTTGCCATTCCGAATTTCTCTACTGCAACTCATGATATACGTTCTATCAATAAAACTGACATTAACGCTAAAAATGGATTCAATAATGGCTTGAATTCTACACCTCTCTTGAATGTCTTGAAAATATTCAGTGCTTTTCAAATAGTAAAATCAATTTTTAAAGTCCTACCACTATTCATGTGGGGTTTATTATTACTGGAACTGTTTCGTAAAGCTATATTTGGATTTTTCTTCTGAGCCTCATTGATTTAAAGTATTTTTTAAGAATATTACAGTCAGAAAGATACAACAACAGATGTTACTATAAGTTTGGATCTTTATCTTTCATTATTATTCATGTTCTTATTATGAGTCAATTAAAATAATTCAAGAAAATTTTTTTAAATTAAATAAAAAATTAATTAAAATTAAAATGAGTCAAGAAAGTGACTCATTTCTGAGACAAAAATGAATCTGGTTCATTTTTAACTGTAGCAAAAATAATGCCAGGCGAATAAAAATTATATCCGTTCTTGTAACTTTTTTCCGCAACTAAATAAAAACACAACTTCTCATAATCTAATCCTTATAGAATAATTAAATAAAAAAGCAAAGTACTTGTAATTTTCTAAAATTTTATAGTAGTTTTTCGCAAGAAATTCAATTATTTTCAAAAATTTTTGGCAAAATTTCAATTATCTTTATAAATAATAAAAGTCTTCTGTAAAATTCAATTATTTTCAAAAGTTTTAATAGAATTCTTGTTAAAATTTCAATTACTTTTAAAAGAAACAAAATTCTTCTTCGAAATTCAATTATTTTCAAAAAATTAAAAGAATTCTCGTCAAAATTTCAATTATTTTTAAAAATAATAAAATTCTTCTCTGAAATTCAATTATTTTCAAAAATTTAAAAGAATTCTCGTCAAAATTTCAATTATTTTCAAAAGTAATAAAATTCTTCTTCAAAATTCAATTTTCTAAATCTCTAAAATTCAATTATTTTCAAAAATTTTAATAAAATTTTTGCCAAAATTTCAATTATTTTCAAAAGTAATAAAAGACTTCTGTGAAATTCAATTAATTTCAAAAACTTTAATAGAATTCTTGTCAAAATTTCAATTATTTTTATGAATAATAAAATTCTTATCCGAAATTCAATTATTTTCAAAAATTTAAAAGAATTCCTGTCAAAATTTCAAATATTTTCAAAAGTAATAAAATTCTTTTGCAAAATTCAATTATTTCCAAAAATTTTAATAAAATTCTTTTTGAAATTTCAATAATTTTCAAAAATCTTCGAAGATATTCAATTAAAAAAAATTAAATTCTTCTTCTAAATTCAATTATTTTCAAAAATTTAAAAGAATTTTTGTCAAAATTTCAATTATTTTCAAAAGTAATAAAATTTTTCTTCAAAATTCAATTTTCTGAATCTCTGAAATTTAATTATTTTCAAAAATTTTAATAAAATTCTTGCCAAAATTTCAATTATTTTCAAAAGTAATAAAAGACTTCTGTGAAATTCAATTATTTTCAAAAATTTTAATAGAATTCTTGTCAAAATTTCAATTATTTTTATGAATAATAAAATTCTTCTCTGAAATTCAATTATTTTCAAAAATTTTAATAGAATTCTTGTCAAAATTTCAATTATTTTCAAAAGTAATAAAATTCTTTTTCAAAATTCAATTATTTTCAAAAATTTTAATAAAATTCTTTTTGAAATTTCAATTATTTTCAAAAGTAATAACATTCTTCGCAGATATTCAGTTAAAAAAAATTAAATTCTTCTTCTAAATTCAATTATTTTCAAAAATTTAAAAGAATTCTCGTCAAAATTTCAATTATATTCAAAAGTAATAAAATTCTTCTTCAAAATTCAATTTTCTGAATCTCTGAAATTCAATTATTTTCAAAAATTTTAATAAAATTTTTGCCAAAATTTCAATTATTTTCAAAAGTAATAAAAGACTTCTGTAAAATTCAATTATTTTCAAAAATTTAATAGAATTCTTGTCAAAATTTCAATTATTTTTATGAATAATAAAATTCTTCTCTGAAATTCAATTATTTTCAAAAATTTTAAAGAATTCCTGACAAAATTTCATTTATTTTCAAAAGTAATAAAATTCTTCTTCAAAATTCAATTATTTTTAAAAATTTTAATAAAATTCTTTTTGAAATTTCACTTATTTTCAAAAGTAATAACATTCTTCGCAGATATTCAATTAAAAAAATTAAATTCTTCTTCTAAATTCAATTATTTTCAAAAATTTAAAAGAATTCTCGTCAAAATTTCAATTATCTTCAAAAGTAATAAAATTCTTCTTCAAAATTCAATTATTTCCAAAAATCTTAAAGTTTACTCGGCAAAATTTTAATTATTTTTATGAATAATAAAATTCTTCTCTGAAATTCAATTATTTTCAAAAATTTAAAAGAATTCTTCTCAAAATTTCAATTATTTTCAAAAGTAATAAAATTCTTCTTCAAAATTTAATTATTTTCAAAAATTTTAATAAAATTCTTTTTGAAATTTTAATTATTTTCAAAAGTAATAACATTCTTCGCAGATATACAATTGAAAAAAATAAAATTCTTCTTCGAAATTTAATTATTTTCAAAAATTTAAAAGAATTCTTGTTAAAATTTCAATTATTTTATATATAACAAAATTTTTCTCTAAAATTCAATTATTTCCAAAAATCTTAAAGTTTACTCGGCAAAATTTTAATTATTTTTATGAATAATAAAATTCTTCTCTGAAATTCAATTATTTTCAAAAATTTAATGAATTCTTGTCAAAATTTTAATTATTTTTTAAAATTATAAAATTCTTCTCTGAAGTTCAATTATTTTAAAAAATTTAAAAGAATTCTTGTCAAAATTTTAATTATTTTCGAATGTAATAAAACTCTTCTTTAAAATTCAATTACGTTAAAAAATTTTTAAAAATTCTTGTCAAAATTTCAATTATTTTCAAAAATAATAAAATTCTTCTTCGAAATTCAATTATTTTCAAAAATTTAATAGAACTCTACTCAAATTTTCAATTATCTTTAAAATTAATAAAATTCTTCTCCAAAATTCAATTATTTTTAAAAATTTTAATAAAATTCCTGTCAAAATTTCCATTATCTTCAAAAATAATAAAATTCCTCTCTAAAATTTAATTATCCATTTTTGTAATTATTTTCCGCAACTAAATAAAAACACAACTTTTCATAATCTAATCCTTACAGAATAATTAAATAAAAAAGCAGAGTATATACTTGTAATTTGCATATATTCTTTTTGTAACGTCATTGAAAAAAAAAATGTGCTTCGTTTTATTTTAAGAAAGCAATCCTCAATCTAAAGGTAGTCTCTGCTCCTATGCCTCACTGTCTAGAGCGAACAGGTAAATTGCAAAGTGCTGGCGTTATAGTCAGAGACATAAAAGTGCCATTTCACTTTCTTTCTCTTTCTGCTTCGCACTCTTTCAAAAAAAAGCCGCCACATCAAGCGAATGAGTGAAAAAATAGCAAGGGAACAAGAAACAGAAACGAATGCTGCAGCCAGTTGTACTAGTAGTAGCAGCAGCAGCAGCAGCAGTAGTAGTAGTAGTAGTTGTATCAGAAAACATAAAACGACGGCAACTCGTAAAGTCATATTATACAAAAAGCTCCGAGTTTTTCATTTTCACTGTATATGCATCTCTCCTACCATAAAATATCACGTTTAGTCAACATTCATTTAACCGAAGTAATAAAATTCTTTAAATAAATTAAATAAATAAATAAATTTAATAAAATTTAAATAAATCATTAGCTTAGTATAATTTAATAATAAGTTAATTATTATATAATAAATCTAAATATAAAATATAATAAATATATTATAGGGCCCCTTACCCTATAATAATATTGTAATAATAAATTTTTTTGGTGCTATTTTTATCGTTTTCTAATTTGCTATTAACCGTCTTGCTCAGTTGACCCAAAAAAGGAAATTCGGTACCCGAAATAAAAAATTAAAAAAAGACGCTAAAACATTTAAAAACGCTAGATTTGGGATATAATTTAGCATCGGCTGAGGGTTAAGTGGTAAAACATGCAAAAAGCCGAATATCAAATGAATTTAAAAAGAATTTAGCTTAAAGTTAATTTCCATATGATAAGGAACCGTTGTTCCTTCTTTTTTTTTTTAGCTTAAATTCCAAGAAAGTGAAAATATGTCTTTTGATTTTCGCTATTCGCCAACCGGAAACGATAACATAAACGCAATGTGCGCCACGTGCTACGTGAGCCTCAAACGGAGAATATATATCTACGGTTCGATATTTAAACCAGTTTTACGGTGTGTGTATATATATGTTTGTATCATATACACGAACGTGACTCTGGAAAGTTTCCTGCAGAGTGCTTTTCGGATTTTATCATCATATGAAAGACATCATACCAAAAGATTGATTTATTTTTTTTAGTTTATCTGTAATTTCCTTTCAATTTTTCTTATACTTTAAAACGATTCAATTATTTTCGCAAATTTTTCGTAATTCAATGATTCTTAATATCTACTATTTTAATAAAGAATTTCCCAAAAGAATTGAATGATTTAAAAAATATGTTTATAAAATTCTACGCAAGCATTTAATTATTTTCATAAATAAGAAAATTTTCACAGGAATTCAATTATTTAAAACAGAATTTTCCTAATATTTTTCGAAAAAAAAATCAATTATTTAAATAGATTTTTATAAAATTCTTCGCAAGAATTCAATTATTTTCATAAATAATAAAATTCTTCCCAGGAATTCAATTATTTTTAAAAGTAATAAATTTCTTCTTAGAAAGAATTCAATTATTTTCATAAATAATATACAATTTCCAAAGAAATTCAATTATTTAAAACACAATTTTCATAAATTTTTTTGAAAAAAATCAATTATTTAAAAGAATTTTTATAAAATTCTTCACGGGAATTCAATTCAATTCTTCGACAATTTTTTTTTTAATTCTTGTCAAAACTTCAATTATTTAAAAAAAAAACAAAATTCTTCTCTGAAATTCAATTTATTATTTTCAAAGATTGTAATAAAATTCTAGTCAAAGCTTCCATTATCTTCAAAAGTGATAAAATTCTTCTCTAAAATTCAATTATTTAAAATATTTTTTAAATAATTCTTGTTAAAATTTCACTTATTTTCAAAAGTAATAAAAAATTTTCCCATAAATTAAATAACATTCAAAAATTTAAAACAATTCTTGTCAAACTTTTAATTATTTTCAAAAGAAATAAAATTTTTCTCTAAAATTCAATTATTTTCAAAGATTTTAATAATTTTCTTGGCAAAAGTTCAATTATTTTTAAAAATAATAAAATTCTTCTTTGAAATTCAATTAATTTAAAAAATTTAAAAGAACTCTGGTCAAATTTTCAATTATCTTTATAAACAAGAAAATTCTTCTCTGAAAATTCAATTATTTTAAAAAAATGTTAATAAAATTCTGGGCAAAATTTCCATTCTCTTCAAAAATATTTAAATTCTTCTCTAAAATTCAATTAATTTCAAAAATTTTAATAAAACTTTTGT